GATGTTACCTTTGATGAATCTGCCATAACAGATAAGGTGACAGTTGAAGATGTCAAACAAATTAGTGGTGCATCAAAGCAAGTGGAGTTTGAGGGAAAATTTATTTTTCCTACACAAGAAGATGAGGAGGAAACTCATGAAGATTACCCTCTGGAAGAAGAGCCAGTAGAGAGGGAGATTCCAACTCAGGAACCTCGACAACAACTTGAATCAATAGCCATCAGCAGGCCAAAAAGGACAATAACGAAACCTATTCGTCTCATAGAGACGGTTGCTTGCGCAACCTCAATTGTAGCTGATGGTGTTCCTACCACTTATAAAGACGCAATCCAAAGTTCAGAAGAAGATAAGTGGAGGATTGCCATGAATGAAGAAATGCAGTCCTTTCATCAGAATCATACATGAAAATTAGCCAATCTCCCAAAGGANGTTAGTTGGAAGTCTACTTTGCAGTCAACAGTTGCTTTGTCTACAACAGAGGCATAGTACATGGTTATTACAGAGGCTGTGAAGGAGGCAATTTGGCTTCAAGAGTTGCTAAAGGAGCTTGGTATTGAACAAAAAAATATTATAATTTTTTGTGATAGTCAAAGTGCTATTCAATTAGCAAAGAACCAAGTTTATCATGCAAGGACGAAGCACATTGATGTTCGGTATCATTTCGTACGAGAAATCATAGAAGAAGGTGGAGTCACGGTGAAGAAAATTCATACTACAGAGAATCCTGCTGATATGCTGACAAAGGTGGTGACTGCGGTCAAGTTTCAACATTGTTTGGATTTGATCAACATTGTTGAACACTAAAGATTGAAGATGAAGACACAACCAAAATTTGTTATTGAGAGAAAATTGAAGATGTGGAATTTTGCCAAGGTGGAGATTTGTTGAAATTGTCAAAAGTCCCACATCGGTGGATAACAATTTTGAATGGGAATTTTACCCTATAAAAGGAGGCCTAATGTTTAGGATTTAAGAACACCTCTCATTTGCCCTTTTATCTTCTTAAGGCATTTGTATCTTCTCTCTTTAGTATTATTTCACTTGTAATTTTGGAGTGGAATAAAATATTGATTGTGTCCGAGGAAGTAGGCAAAATTGGCCGAACCTCGTAAATTCTGGTGTTCTTTTATTGTTGTCTTATTGTCTTGTTTATTATTTAATGGTTGTCATAATTTTTGGTATAGTAATTGTGACTCATTCACACTATATACATTTGGCTTCCGCAATAAAAAAATACATATAACTTACATAACTGTATTAAAATTGTGCATGACTACACGTTTAAAGATGTATCAAATTGTATGAAAGTTATATGATTGTTGTATGAAAATTATACGAGGTTTTATGAAAATTATATAAAAGTTGAATGATTTTGTATGAAGACATGCAACTTGTATTTGGCAATAAGTTCACTTTGGAAGATGTATAAAATTTATATGGATGTTATATGAAACGTGTAGGAAAGTTATATACTGTATGATAAATTCTTTTTTCCTGCAAGATTCGATTTTGCTTGTTGCTTTTGAATTTATTTATGTTGCAATATTTCGAAACAATATCAAATTTTCTTTTCGATGCTCGCATCAAATTGATTGTTATTTCTGAATATTTTTACGTTCAAGTTTAAGGCTTTGGAGATGAAGCATGATTTCCATTGTCGCCATTGAAGATAAATATTGAAGTTAATTCTCTATTATTTTGTGATCGGCGTTTGAAATTGTATCAGAAATACTCGTGATTTGTAGCTGGTTAATTGTGTATATGTTTTCAGATAATGTTTGCTTTTTTCAATTAGCAAATTATCTATCGTCAAATTTTGAAGTTGCATGTTGATCGTCAATGCCAGATTTCATATAGCTATGGGTAAATCCCGTAGAAACTAAAATCCCTAATCATTAGTACAAATCATGATATATTTAGTGAGCATTTGGACATAAGAATTTAAATTCAAAAAAAAAAAGTGACACTAATATTATTTTGGGTTGTTTTGAAGTTTTGTGAGTGATTTGAGTGAAAATTTTGAAAAACAGCTTTTTAGAATTTTTTAAATTTTCGAAAAATTCCAAAATTCATCTTCAAGTGAAAATTAAAAATTCTATGGCCAAACACTGATTTCAGAAATAATAATTTTTTTTATGAAATCCTCTTTGTATATACAAATAGTAAAAAAATCAATTCACTTTTGGTAAATAGCAAAATATAGTTAAATCGGGTAAATACTTGTCGAGGATGTTTGGGAGCAGCTCAAACAAAGAAGAGTCTATTGATATATTCTTATTAAATTTAAGCTAACGTTTGGCCATAGATTTTCAAATTTGTTCTAAAAAATTTGATTTGGGTGAAGTTTGGTTTGAAGATGAAAATGTGTTTGGACATCAGTTTTCAAAATATATTTCCCAAATTTATTTTGGAAAAACATGAAACATGACTTATACCCACAAGTTCTAAAAACTATCACAAATACCCAATACTACCATTATCAATAACATTCATTATATTATTGCAAACCATAGTCCTGAACATAAATAAATTTGATACAAAATTATCATTTTTATAATGAACTACATGATACACTATCAGGTGACCGAGAAGACGAAGCAACATTGTTACAAAATAATAAATGATGAGTTCTTTTATAAAATACAAAAGTTTAGGATAATTTTTAAAAAATGTAATAGTGATATTTTGGCCCAAACTAGCTATTGAGCTAGTTTTGGGATTTGAGATTTTGCCAAAATTAGACAAAATCTATGGTCAAACATGTGTTTGCCAAATAAAACCCAAATATATTTTGGCAAAATCTATGACCAAACGGATCGCAAGGAGCTTTTTCGGTAAATTTATCAAAATTCCACCATTTCATCTCTAAAAATTTAAACCCAACTTATTAGGACCCCTGCCCGGAGTTTAGCAAAACCACGAAATACTTTTTCCGGCGACTGCTCATGCCTATTAAATTCTCCGGCAAGCTTCTCATCTTCATTTCAATGGATAAAATTCAGGAAGCAAGATTCATTCATCAAACATTATCAAAGAATTAACACAAGCACATCATTCATATTTTGTCACCATTTCCTATGGAAGGATAAGCATAGAGAAGATCTCTTCTATATACAGTCACAACTTGGTTGAAGTTTATAAAAAGAGAACTTTTTTCAGAAACAATAATTTCTTGCAATTAATAATATGATCTCTGCGTTCTAACCCCACTGAAACTTGACTCTGATGCCATTATTTCATTTCAATCTAGCATCTTCTGTGGTCCTGGCTTTTTGGAGAAAGAAAAGAAAAGGATGTTGCCGCCGAACAAAATTCGCCGGAAAAGTGGGAGGAAGTGAGGACCTAGATGTGAATTTTCTTGGTACTAGTATAAAAGTGTTGTGGAAAGACAATAAAGTCCTCAGTTACAAAAAATGAACTTTTTTTGATTAAGTCAAATATACATTATTTTAAATGAGTGGGGGTAAGAATGGAGTATATTTTTTCATTTTTTTTTTTCACCTTTATAAAAGTAATGAGCTTTTATAACAAGTGAGTTCAACAAACTATGTCAATAAAAATCAGTTTAGGGAAAGAGAACATAGAAATTAAAAATGAAAGTGTGTCATCATCAAACAAAAATTAGAATTGACTAGGTAATTCTTATATCCAATACCACACCTCAACATTTTCCACTAATACAATTTTGGGAGGGGAAAAATTGAATGCCCTCAAGAGGCTTATAAAATGTGCATCACCATTGAAGGTGCCCAAAGGAAAAGATGTCGACAAGTCAGCTAAATTTACCAGCATGTTTAACTATTCAAGTATACACACTAGCAAGTCAATAGTCCGTCGCAATTAGGAGTTAGCAAATGGGCGGGTCGGGTTGGATATGGTTCGGATCAAAAACGGATAATGAAAAAATATTCGACCTGACCCATATTTAATACGGATAAAAAAACGGGTTAACCCCATATTTAATACGGATAAAAAAACGGGTTAACCAACGGATAATATGGGTAACCATATTATCCATGGCTTCATGAATATGATCACTTTTGGAAGAATTCCTAGTCGCCCAAACTTGAGAAACCCCCAATTTAAGGCTTTGCAGATGTAAAAGTTAAACCTATTAGTTATCCATTGGTTACCCGTTGGTTATCCATTTTCTAAATGGATAATATGATCCTTATTCATATTTGACCAATTTTTAAAAAGTTCATTATCCAACCCATTTTTTAGTGGATAATATGGGTGATTAACTGTTTTCTTTTAACCAATCAACCACCCTATCCATTGAACAATTCAATAGCTACCACTTTTTCCAATATTTTCCCGTGTTAAGTGTCGTACTAGGCCTGCCTTCAGATTTTTTATTCGATAATACCTAAACATGAAGGATTTTAAAAAATCCGGAACAGGAGAAAAAGACTATCCATTCGTCAAGTAATACCGCACAACTTTTACAAGTTACCGTGACAGCAGCATCGTCTTATAAATAACCAATGTTGTGAATCCATCTGAAGTACTTCTAAACGAACCATATCCATCATTCACAGAAATTTAAACCTGCTTTTGAGAATGGATCAAATCCTTTCAAATAATAACTTAAGAAAAGATGCTACAGAGGGATGCCCTTCCCTCAACTGACCAAAACAACTCAAGTTCCTGTAGAACAGAGGTGAAAAAACACTATGCTACAACCTAAATTTGTCAAACCCGGTTATAGCCAACTGACTTGCTAAACAGTTGTCGGATATACACAACCTGAAGCCCACTAGCCAATATAAGCAGCAGATATTCTCCAATTGTGTAAAATATAACACGCTTCCTTGTGCTCTCATTAGCTGTACCAGATGAACACACACATCAGATAAGCGGTAGATCACATGATGAACGAACTCTATCATTCAAGATTAACCCCATGGGCAAAGATCAAACGTAAACAGGAAGAAAGAAGCCAATGGAGATTTTACATCCATCATCATAAAGAAGTGAATATAGGTCCAGAAACATTGGTAAGGTTCAGAAGAAAGCATACTCATAACACCCACCAAACGAAATATTTGAATTTTTTGTTTTCTTTTATTGGCCATTTTGTTTATATAAGAGAACTTCACTTAACTATTTCCAGACAAGGTGCTTAATAAATTTTAAACCTCAACTTTACTCATCTTTTTACCATATCATAAGAAGGGAAGATACATAAGAAAGAGCACAACATACTTTGGAATTAGAAAAATGACACCCCTAGAGCATGGGCGTATGTAGTGTGTTACTGATGGGTTCAATTGAACCCATACATTTCGACACGGAGTAAAAATTTATATGTAAAAATTGATTAAAACTGCATAAATAGTAGATATGAACCCATAACTTTAAAAATATAATGGGTTCAACATTAAAAATCTTAAAAGTTGAACACATAGGATTTAAATCCTGGATCCACCTCTGTCCTAGAGTGCGAAGACTTACCTTAAACGCAATAGCATTCAAAAGATATTAACCTGTCTAAATAACACCATTTTATCTAAAAGTCTGCATGAATTAACACCTTGCAATATTTTAATGAAGCCTAGAGTAAGCTACAATTGGAGTGACATCAGTCATCTGATATTGCCTTTTTGTCTTCAGAAAATGCTATGCCATCACTAGGAAATACATTGTTGTTAAGTCACCACAGGGCCCATTTTTGCAGCACCATTTTCAGAAGTAGCATTAATTGGTTCAAATATAAAATAGACAGTTGCCTACTGCTGGCAGCCATCAATCCAGGTTCTATAAGCTAGTCGGTCTCAATGCCGTCAAAGCATTTACCACACAAATGACATTCGGCACACTAGGAGAAAGGAAAATCAATCAAGTTTATATCCATTTCTAATAAAAGAGCAATAAAGTCCTTATCAAAAAAAAGAATGAAGTCTTACTATGACGATGACGAGCATCACGTGCTCTTAGGTACTTCTGCTCTGAAGTAACTGACTCCAATGCCTCTCTTAGTTCAGCAATTTTGACATTAATGGGGTCCAAATGTTCTGCACAAAGGTTAGTCAATGTTAAATGAGAAAAAAAAAGGGACGTGAATAAAATATAACAGTCTGCAGCTAATCCTAGCAATGCATAAAGAACATATCAGTCAAAAAACATAATACATAATATCCCACTATCCCAGCAATACATATAAGAACATATCAGTCAATTAACATAATGCATAACAGCCTCCACAGCTACTGAAATACCATAAAGAATATATCAGTCTCTTGTCACCAATGGAACCAAATTTGTGTAAAAGCAGAAATTAAATTTCTAAAATATTAATGATAAAACAATAACATGGCAAATAAGACCAACCATCTTTAGCAAGGTCATGCTCATTGGGGATGTGTCCAATATGTATGTAGAAAGAGACAGTTTCTGGTGTTGAATAAGGATTCTTAAAACAGAACTTGTACATCCCACTCCGAGGGGCCTTGAACTCAAATTTATCCCCAGATGTTCCCTTCATTGTGTGTACAATATTTTCCCCGGGCGCTGTCACCTGCATGAGTAACAAGAATTAACAAGAAAGATTCGTGATCTCGTTTTCATTAAGAGGTTGCGGAGAAAGTAAACAAATAAGAACATCTTAACAATGAGGTAATAAGCTCCCATTAGTAGTCACATCAAGTGCAGACATGGCTAAGAGGTGGAAGCTGTCTGTTACTGTATAATAATTTTTTTGACATTAACATGTGCTGGATTCCCATGACTCGTCATCACCACCAAACAAAGACTAACTTCTGGTCCTGGAGCATCTTTCTTATACTTTACCCAAAGGCTCAAATAAAGGGGAAAAAATAAAATAAATTTGTACTTCAAGAATAATTACTTAAACCCAAACAATCATTACTAAAAAATTTGAGAAAATTTATAATTAGAAAAAATGTTTACTGTTTACTAATACGGCCCATGGGATGAGGCGCGCAGCTTAGTCCCTTGATGCAGCGCCATCTAAGCAAGCTAGGCTCATAGCCTCTTTTGCACCTAACCTCTGGGCTTAAGTGTGCCTTGAGCAAGCTTATGACAACAGTACTTCAGTGATAGGGCTGATTGATTGGAACAGGGGATTACATGTGAGTTTGCAAAGAGAAGAATAATGATTATTTGTGCATGTTGAAGAGGCTACAAGGGGAGGAAAGAGGAGAAAAAAAATATCAGGTAGAGGGAAGCAAAGGTTGTATAGTTGGAGGATAGTTGAGAAATCATGTCTGGTATTTGAAAAAGAGATTTCAGGTTTATGAATAAAATTTCTTATGACAATGAATCTGGTCAAGCACCAGAACAAAAAAGGTAAGGGCTTTTATAAAAGAAAATAAGATATCTCCGAGACAAATGAGGTTCAGCCAATTCAAATGAAAGCGGAGTACAGTGCTATGAAGCAAGCAGGGGCGGATTTATAGGCAAAAATATGGGGCACGTGAACCCATGGTCTCTCCGCAAAATTAGACATTTTATGGCCGTAGTAAATAGGAGAGAAAATCGAATTAAATTCTTCGTTTTTTACAAAAACTTTACAATTTTTTTTTTTTTTTTTTTTTTTTTTTTTTTACATATTTTCTAAAATTGGTATAATATTAACTGTTGGCACCCATGCTTCAAGAAGGTTGAATGGTGCACTTGGTTGAAGGTTAAGTTAATTACTAAGAGGAATAGGGATCAATTCCCACTTAATACATTTTTTCCTCCTTTTTTTTTTAGTAGTGCATCCATGTACTAGAAATCCTAGATCTGCCTCTGGCAGGCTCTAGTAAAATTTCTCAAAACTGTATGGACTACTCAAACCCCCAGTTGAGCAATACCAAGTCTGGCGTAAAATCCTCAATAAATAGTGATCCATAAATTAGTGGTTCAGCAACGGATGGCTCCAAAGATGATGAATGAAACAATGCATGTAAGATGAGCATGATAAAGGGTATGTCTACACCAGCGAAGGCGAGAGTCAAAAGGCAATGGCTGGTTCCTTAAGAATAGGATATATACAGATTGAAAGAGCTAATCCAAGAGCTTGTCTAATTCTCTGAAGCTTGACTTTGTCTGGCCTCTAGGACCAAACAATGAGATAGTATGACTCATAATTAGACATACATTCGTTGGTCAGCCAAAGATGCTATCAAGCTAGCCGGAGGTATGAAGTATGAACATAGTTAGGAGAGTAGAAATTTGGAAATCACGAAACATTAATGAGCCCCAACTTGTATCGGATTGAGGCTTAGTTGTTGTTGTTGTATAATACTTTAGTGAGGGAAGACAATCAGTGGCGAAGCTAGGAATTTTCCCGAGGGTATTCAAATTTGAAAGAAGTGAAAAGAAATTCCCGACAAAGGGTGTTCAATATGTGTTATATACCTCTAAAACGTAATATTTTACCTACATACACAGTGCAATTTTTCGACGAAGGGTGGTTTGACCACCCTTGCGACCATGTGGCTTCGCCACTGAAGACAATAAGGCAAATCATTTAGTATTGGAGTGAAATTAACCTCAACAGATTTGGAATTGAGGCATAGTTGACTGATTGATTTTCACTATTTCATTTAAGTTAAAATGGCCGAAATTGCTGGTATTGTGGGATGATTAGCAGGTGCAAATAATAAGCAGCCAAAAGTGAGGCTAATATCTAAACAAAAAGCAAGTGATGGCAGTAAGCAGCAGAATATACAGTCTTAAAACAAAAAGCAAGTGATGGCAGTAAGTAGCAGAATGTCCAGTCATTGAAGCAAAACATTCAAACCAACTCAAGGATCCTAAAACATAATACTAGGAAGAAGTGAATAAGCAATTTTCCTCCCTTCAGTGTAAAGTCAAAATTCCTGCTCTATGCTTTGAGAATTTCAGAAAACTAAACACTTGAATCTTGATTACTGCAAAATAATTAATAGAGAAAACTATTCTCTTTCACGGAGGGACATACGTAGTGTACAAGTTATGGGTTCATTCAAGTCTAGTATGTAAAAAACAAATCACTAAATAAGTAGAAATAATAGATTTTGAACACAGTAAATTAAATAGGTTATAATAGAATTTCGAACTCGAACCCATAAAGTTCAAATCTTGGATCCGCCGCTGCCTTCACCGAGGTTCACTTCACTTAAAGATAATTCAATATTTACCTTAATTTACATTTAAAAAAGAAAAAGAAAAAGAAAAAAGAGGAAACCTTTACAGTCTATCTGAATTTCAACAACAATTCATCTTTAGATAAACAAATTTCAACAGCAATTTTATATACAGTATAAACGTTTTCCTGTGAAGAATTATACATGCAACAGCTCTAATAATTGTTATCTATCAAATCTATAAAAAATCTCAAAAGAGCTAAATCTAAAAAAAAATCAACTAAGTGAAAAGCAAGTGGATCCGATAACGATAACGTGTAATCAATCTCAAAAACAGTTCACAAGTAATGGCGTATAGTCGATATTGAGAAAAAATAAATACACAATTAAGCTAAAAGGGGAAAAAAAGAAGACATACGACGAAATCGATGCCGGGATGATCGGAGCTCCAAAAGATGTCATGATCAACGACGACGAAGTTTCCAGAAATTGTGTCATTTTCATAGAGAACGTACTCGTACACGCATTCCTCGTCGTTTACCGTTACAGATAACGCCGTTAGGTCGTTCACGAAACTGAATAGCAGAATTGCCACCAAAGCGAAGACCTTTGACCGCCTGATTCCGTCTCCGGTTGTTGTTTCCATCTCCGGCCCCGACGACGACTTAAGCTCTTTTAGGATTGTGAAAATTCGTTTTCGGAGATTTTGGGGCAGATTTTGTAATTGTAAGATACAGAAGTGACGTGCGGGTGTCTAATTTTACACTACCATCGAACCCGACATCGTTTTCTTTGGATGGATTTTTTGTTTATTTATTTTTTCTCTTTTATTTCACGAGAAAAGGCTAAGAGGGGGTAAAGGGGTAAGAGAGCTAAGGGAGCTATTAGGGTGACAGTGGGGTCTTGGAACATAGAAACTTTGACTGAAAAATTTGTAGAGTTAGCGAAGATTCTCGAGAAAAGAAAGATTAATATAACTTGTGTACAGGAGACTCGGTGGGTAGGAGATAAGGCGTGGGATGTTGGCAGTTTCAAACTTTGGTATTCTGGAAGGGTGGGGGAGGAACGGGGTACGTATCTTGATTGATAAGGACTTTCTGAACTAGTGGTGGAGGTTAGGAGGGTGAACGACAGGCTGATGACTATTAAGCTAGTTATTGGAGATTTTACTTTGAACATAATCAGTACGTACGCACCCCAAGCAGGCTTGGATGAGGAAGTCAAGAGGCGATTATGGGATGATTTGGATGAGATGGTGCGTGGTATCCCGCATACCGAGAAGCTTTTCATAGGAGGAGATTTCAACGACCACATTGGAGCGGCGTCTGGGGGGTATGATGATGTGCATGATGGCTTTGGTTTTGGAGATAGAAACGGAGGAGGAACGTCTCTGCTGGACTTTGCTAGAGTATTTGATTTGGTGATAGCAAACTCGAGTTTTCCAAAGAAGATGGAGCACTTGATCACCTTCCGGAGTTCGGTGGACGAGACTCATATTGATTATTTACGGTGCAGGAAGTCCGATAGAGGTCTTTGCACGGATTGCAAGGTCATCCCGAGTGAGAACCTCTCGACCCTTCATAGGCTCTTGGTCATGGACCTTGAGATCACGAGGAAGAGGAGGAATAGGGCGATGTATAGCCAACATAGGATAAAGTGGGGAGCCTTGACGGAAACTAAAGCGCAGGAGTTAGGGGTCAAGCTGGTAACTATTGGGGCTTGGAGGAGTAGTGGGGACGCAAACGCTATGTGGACCACGACCGCAGTGTAATAGGGAAGCCGCGAGAGAGGTATTAGGGGTCTCAAAGGGTTACTCTGGTGGTCACAAGGAAGACTGGTGGTGGAATGGAGATGTGCAAGGAAAAGTAAAAACCAAGAAAGCAGCGTATCTTACGCTAGTGGAAAGTGTAGACGAGGAGGAGAAGAGGGCGAATATAGAGCATTATAAGTTGGCTAAGAAAGAGGCAAAGCTAGCAGTTACGGCTGCCAAGATTGCAGCTTTTAGTCGTTTGTATGAGGAACTCGAGGGCCGAGGTGGAGATAAGAGGTTGTTCAGGTTAGCCAAGGCTCGAGAAAAGAAGGCGCGTGACTTGGACCAAGTGAAGTGCATCAAGGATGAAAAAGGTAGAGTTTTGTTGGATGAGGGGCTTATCCGTCGAAGATGGCATACCTACATCCATAGTCTCTTGAACGAGGAGGGGGACAGGAGCATTGTACTGGGTGATTTGGAACTCTCCGGGAGTCATTGTGACTTTGGGTATTGTAGGCGGATTAGAGTTGATGAAGTTGAGGGGGCTATGTGTAAGATGAGCAGAGGGAAAGCGACCGGGCCGGATGAAATCCCGACGGAGTTTTGGAAGAGTGCGGGCAAGACAGGCTTGGAGTGGCTCACTAGGTTATTTAATATCATTTTTAGAATGAAGAAGATGCCCGAAGAGTGGAGGTAGAGCACGATGGTTCCTGTATATAAGAACAATGGTGATATCCAAAATTGCAATAACTATTGGGGTATCAAGCTTCTTAGCGATACTATGAGAGTATGGGGGAGAGTGGTAGAGCTAAGGGTGAGGATGAGTGTGTCTATTTTCGAGAACCAGTTTGGGTTTATGTCGGGGTGTTCGACTACATAAGCCATCCACCTTGTTAGGATATTGATGGAGCAGTATAGGGAGAGAAATAATGACATGCATATGGTGTTCATCGACTTAGAAAAGACGTACGATAAAGTTTCGAGCGAGGTTTTGTGGAGATGTTTGGAGGCTAGAGGTGTACATGTTGCCTATGTTAGGTTGATTAAGGACATGTATAATGGAGTAAAGAACCGAGTGAGGATGGCGGGTGGGGACTCGGACTATTTTCCGGTTATTATGGGGTTCCATCAGGGGTCAGCACTCACCCCTTTCTTGTTTGCTCTAGTGATGGACGTACTGATACGCCACATCCAAGGGGAGGTGCCGTGGTGTATGCTATTTGCAGATAATATTGTATTGATTGACGATACGCGAGACGATGTGAACGTGCAACTAGACAGAATACTTGGAGTGTAAGTTCAATGGCGAGACTCAAGGAGGGGAAAGGGAGGTGAGGCTGGATTCGCAGGTCAGCCCTAGGAGAGTGAGTTTTAAGTACCTTGGGTCTATTATTCAGAGGGATGGGAAGATTGATGAAGATGTCACACATCGTATTAGGGCGGGATGGATGAAATAGAAACTCGCTTCCGGTGTTTTATGTAACAAGAATGTGCCACCGAAACTTAAGGGTAAGTTCTACAAAGTGGTGGTCAGACCAACGATGTTGTATGGGGTTGAGTGTTGGCCAATCAAGATCGCTCATGTCCAGAAGATGAAGGTAGCAGAGATGAGGATGTTGAGATGGATGTGCGGGAATACCAGGTTAGATAGGATTAGAAATGAGGTTATTCACGACAAGGTAGGTGTGGCCCCTATTGAGGACAAGATGCGGGAAGCACGACTTAGGTGATTTGGTCATGTGAGGAGGAGGATCACAGACACCCCAGTGAAGAAGTGTGAGAGGTTGACATTGGAGGGTCTACGAAGAGGTAGAGGTAGGCCAAAGAAAAGGTGGAGAGAGGTGATTAGGCAAGACATGGCACAACTTCAGCTGACCGATGACATGACCCTTGATAGGAAGGTATGGAGGTCGAGGATTAGGGTAGTAGAGCATGTAGTCTGGAGTGTTCATAACAGTAGTATTGGTACGCAGTCTCGCTTTCTATTGGTAGTAGATTTTTATGACTAACTGTTATTTTCTTTCATTGTTGATCACCTTATTGTCTTATTATTTTTATTCTGCTTTTATATGACTTTTTGGTACTGTCCTTCTTGTCTATATTTTCATTAATGTGCTGCTTATGCTTTTCTGAGCCGAGGGTCTATTAGAAACAACCTCTCTATCCTCACAAGGTAGGGGTAAGGTCTGCATACACACTACCCTCCCCAAACCCCACGGTGTGGGATAATACTGGGTAGGTTGTTGTTGTATTTAAGGAGAAAAGGAAAATAGAGAGGGATTACGAGGTGGGAAATCCAATACTCACTAATCTATCTATCTATTCTATATCTATATTATTATAAAAATATGAATACAGTGTCGTTTTACAAAAATAAATTTATAATATTAAGCATAATAACTCACAATAAAATGACATAACTAGAATTCTAGATATTAGCCTTGTAATCCTATTAGTTTTAGGATATAATACTACATGTTAGGAATCCTACATGATTACCTTTAGGAATACTATTAGTATAATTAATTTCTGGCATAGACATATAATACTGCATGTTATCATGCAAACTTAATACCTATGAACAAGTTAGGTTTCCTTTTAGTATAATTACTTTCGGGATAGACACATATATTTAGTCATATAATCCTATTACTTTTAGGATATATGTCACGATCCAAAATCCAATCATGTCGTGATGTCGCCTATCTCAATACTAAGCAAGCCGACAACCTCAATAAATCACAATTTCTTTTAAGTTTGAAAATATAGTATTTAAATTCAATACAAAAATCTCACAAATACCGACATAAAATACTCCCAAAACCCGGTGTCACTGAGTATATGAGCATCTAAATGATAACAAAGTCTGACTGATAAAAAAAAATACTGTCTGAAAATATAGAACACTACAAAACTGAAAGGAAAGAGAGTCAAGGTCTGTGGACGCCAAACAGCTACCTCGATAGTCTCCAATAGATAAAGCTCCAAAAAACTAGCAACCGTTGTGCCCGAAAGTACTTGGATCTACACATGAGGTGAAGGGTGTAGTATGAGTACAACCAACTCATCAAGTAACAATACTAAATAAAAAGCTGAAGATAGTAACGAGTTTCACAGCTAAGTCCAAATGCAGTAATTTCTAACATAAGAAGGTAGACATGCTTTCAAGTTCAACATTTAAAACTCAACAGTAATTTCATATCAAATTCGACTGGAACAAAAGATAATGTCTTTCAGAAATTTTTAAAACAGTGATATATGATAGCTGAATTGCAACAATAATGAAATCAACGCATCCTCTCAGAGCAACAGTCACTCAGTCCTCCCATTCACTCCAACCTCACAATCACTCTTTTCTCACAGTCACTCATTCCTCTCAATCACACAGCACTCGGCACTCGTACTTAGTAGGTACCTGCGCTCACTGGGGTGTATACAGACTCCGGAGGGGCTCCTTCAGCCCAAGCGCTATAACAAGCCAATCATGGGATAAATTAATAAAACATGCTACGGCGTGCAGCCCGATCCCATAATTATTCTCACAATCAAGCCCTCGGTCTCACTCAGTCATCAACCTCTCTAGTCTCGGGCTCTCAGAAATCATGATAAGCATCCCAAACAGTAATGATATGATGCATCAATAATGAACAATAGAGATTGAGATGTAATATGCAAGTAAAACCATGACTGAGTACAGAATAGTAATTTAACAGATAATTTAATATGTACACGACCTCTGTGGGTCCCAACAGTGTCAACACATGGTTTAAATATGATTTATAGTTCGATTTCTCTAATACGTGAAAAAATGTACGGGTAACAACAAATTATTCGACTACACAGATCCATGGAATTGACCAAGTCACAATTCCTACGATACACGCCCACACGCCCGTCACCTAGCATGTGTGTCACCTTAAAACCAATCACATAACACAAAACCCGGGGTTTCATACCCTCAGGGCCAAATTTAGAATTGTTACTTACCTCAAACCGTGTAATTCTTTATTCTGATATGCCTTTGCCTCGCGAATCGGCCTCCAAACGCTTCGAATCTAGTCACAAATAATTCGATTCAGTCAATACAAATTATAGGAATTAATTCCATATGAAAATACTAATTTTCCAACAAAAATCCGAAATTACACTAAAAAATTGCCAATGGGGCCCACATATCGGAACCTGACAAAAGTTACAAAATATGAACTTCATTCAACCACGAGTCTAACCATATAAATTTTATCAAATTCCGACATCAACTCGACACTCAAATCTTCAAATTAAACCAAGAGGGTTTTCACAATTTTTCAACTTAAATCACTAATTAAATATTTAAAAAACCATGGATTCAGGTAATTTGACCGATATTGAGTTAAGAACACTTACCCCGTTATTTTTCTTGAAAATCTCTCGAAAATCGCCTCTTTTCGAGCTCAAATTCGTCAAAAATAGAAAATATTCGTCCCATTTTCATAACTTAAACTCTCTGCCCAGACATTTTCTCTACGCGATCGCGGACTTGTCCACGCGATCGCAAACTTGTCCAAGTAATCACGGACTTGTCCACGCGATCGCGAAGCACAATTCTCGCACTGCCCACATTAACCTTACGCGATCGCGGACTTGTCCATGCGATCGCGAAGCTCAACCTCACAGGCCTACGCGATCGCGGTCTCGTCCACGCGATCGCAAAGCACAAACGTGTGACCTCCACTTCTGCTCCACTTACTCTATGCGAACACGACCTTCTTCACGCGATCGCAGCCCTCTTCACGCGATCACGAAGAACAAAATCATCACTACCTCGAACAGGCCTGCGCGATCGCGGTCAAGTTCATACGATCGCGTATAAGGAAACCAGGTACAAACATCAGAAAAATTCTAGCAAACTTCCAAGTCCAAAATTCAATCCGTTAACCCTCCGAAACTCATCTGAGGGCCCCGGGACCTCAACCAAATACACCAACAAGTCCTAAAATATCATACGAACTTAGTCGAAACCTCAAATCACATCAAACAAT